GGTCCCCATAGCATGTTGACCCTGGCTATATGCCATACACCCACTAAAGCTGCTCTATCACTCCACTCCACAAATAGATGGGGGAAAGAATATATAACCAAAAGTCCATGAGTTGAGACAAGGACAGGGAGAAATCACTCATCAAATACTGTCATGGGCAAAACAGACTCAACTTGGGGAAATTAAGTGATTTTATTATTAACAAGATCAGAGCAGAATAATGAGAAAATAAGACTGACATAAAAAACATGTTCCCCCACCCTTCCCTCCTTCCCAGCTCTACCTTCTCCCCCCAGTGACACAGGGATACTGGGAGTGAGTGCTACGGTCAGTTCATCACACATTGTTTCTGCCACTGCTTTCAGGGAGAGGAGTCCTTCCCCTGCTCCAGCGTGGGGTTCTTCCCACGGGAGACAGGTCTCCATGAACTTCTCCAACATGTATCCTTCCTACAGGCTACAGTTCTCAACAAACTGCTGTGGCATGGGTCCCTCTCCACAGGGTGCAGTCCAGTCCCTCAGGGACAGCCTGCTCCAGTGTGGGTCTCCTCTCTCCATGGGTCTGCAGGTCCCTGCCAGGAGCCTGCTCCAACAGGGCCTTCCCGTGAGGTGACAGCCTCCTTTTGGGCACCCACCTGCTCTGGTGTGGGTCTCTTCTATGGGCTGCAAGTGGATCTCTGCACCCTGTTAACCTCCATGGGCTGCAGGGGCACAGCTGCTTCACCATGGTCTTCACCACAGGCCCCAGGGGAATCTCAGCTCTGGCAGCTGGAATAGCTTCCTCCTTCTCCACTGACCTTGGTGTCTGCATAGTTGTTCCTCTCACATATTCTCACTCCTCTCTTCTCTGGCCACAATTACTTCTGTGCAGTAACTTTTTTCTTTCTTAAATATGTTATACCAGAGGTGTTACTACCATCTCTGATTGGCTTGGCCTTGCCACGGAGGTGGGTCCATCCTGGAGCCACTGGCATTGGTTCTGCTGGACATGGGGCAGCTTCTAGCAGCTTCCCACAGAAGCCACCCCTGTAGCCCCTCCATTGCCAAAACCTGGTCACACAAAACCACTAGTCCCTTCCAACCTGAACCATTTCAGGATTCTATGAAAGTAAGCCCAAGTATTTAGGAATATTTTACTCTAATAGGCAAAACTGCTCCTCTTCATCAACTGTTCCATCTCTGGGATGCCATGCATGCCATGAGGATGGACATCCCTAGGAAGGTCACTTAGGAACACACACCAGTTATCCCATGGTGGAACATCTCATCTGTGAGTCAGAGCCTCTCATGCACAGGGAAAAGTAAACATGACTGTAGGGCTTCTGTGTGTAGGAAATTTGGGACATTGCCTGTTCCTGACAGTCGTGGCCACTTGAAGGTACACCCAGGGGTGTAGGGCAAGGGAGTCAGAAGGCAACAGGCATCTCAGTGTGGTACAGTGCGCAGAGCAGACTGCTCCGAGCTTTGAGGTTTTACTAGGAGGTGATGGGAGCTTTGCATTCAGACTCAGTAATGGAAGGAGTAAAAGAGGTGAACAGAGTCTGGTTAAAATCCCCCTGGAACAGTATGCAGAGATGGAATTCTGTTCCATCAGGAGCAGAAGACACCTGCACTGGCAGGTTTTTCATGAAGCTTACCTGAGGCTCTGAATTTAACAACCGGCAACAAACCCAGCCTGGATCACAAAAGTGAGGTGGGAAGTGCAGTGTGCAAGAAACCCATTGAATCCTCTTATTGTCAGAATGGGAAACTGACAAATTAATTCAAGGGTCTTGTTACTTACATATCCTTGATTCCCTGCTGATGGATTTCACTTCATTAATGTTTTCTGTTTTGATATTTACTTCCTTTGTATTCATTGACTCAGTGTTTCCAGATGGAAAAATGTCTTTTCTTAAAAACTTGGGAAAAACTTTTTTCCCCCCCAACATCCTGGGGCAAGACAAGCCAGTCAAGCTAGTTTAGATGGTAAATTTATGAAATCTTGAACACTACTGTGCTTCATAATATCTGGAAGAAAGGTTACAGCTACACAACTCTGAGTCATCTTAATTAAACGTTTGTCTTACACAATTTGGGAAAAGTAGTATGTGGTCATGTAATTTAGGGATTTAAGAGAATGCACGTGCCTCTGAGCAGAATTATATTGCATTGGCAAACTTAACATTATCATTTATTAACCTTAATGGCACGATTATGCCTCTTTTAAATTGTTATTTTAATTTCTGACATCATTTCAGTCAATTGTGAAATATATTGCCTATAGACAATAAACAATTGTATATGGGTAATAAATCTAAAACAATAATAAAACCAATAAAGATCTAAGCAAATACAATCAAATGCTGCATGTGCATTCAATGTAAATAGATACATCCATACACCAGTCTTCTGCATAGTTAGGATTATGCAGATAAAATGCAGCTACTTTTTAACTAACTTCAGCAATATTTTTCTTGATTAATAGGTATATGTCTTCTAAAAATTATTAATATTTACATACATATTAATCTACCACTGCTACTGACAAGTTGAGTCAGGTTTATGTGAAAATATACAATTTCCTTGCCATGAAATGATATGCATAATATATCAGTCCACACTCACTTATGCCATGCCCATTTTAAAATATGATTGTGACTTGAAGTCACTGACAGGGTCTTTGCCCAGTTCAGAGCAGCAAACATCTCCCCATGATTTGTTGTGCATCTTTCATCACTGTTTTCCTGGCTTTCAAAATTCCAGTTAGAACCATCAAGCTGTGCTCCTAAGAGATATCAGAAGTGAGATGACACTCTCTCCATTCTCAGTTTGACAAAGAAATCAGACGAGGCATGTTCTTCAAGCAAAGCCTTTATCCTGACTACAATGAAGCCAGTAATGATTAATCTGTAGGTGTTTCTCTCCCTTGCCAATATAAAAAACTCTTTCAGCTGGGCTTTGTTAATGCACTTTGCCTATGGCCTGTTGAAACTTGAAGCACTTTTTTTCCTGGCTAAAACCATCTCTGGAGCATGCTGTGCTGATTGTAAAGGGTAAAGGCTGTAAGGGACCTTTACATTTTTGTTTATAGTCCAGTCCTAGTGTAGCTGGTTTGTGAGGAGGAGGGGGTTTCTAGAGTATTAGTGACACTTAATTTAGCTTGTATTTTTGTCTTGACTTGTGGGCACTGGCTGGATTAAGGGTCCTATCTGGTGAAAATCTTTAAACTCCTTTCCATAAGGGTCTTGGATCTAGCTTGCTCTAGGGCTAAGTCTGATGAACATGAATATGGTGAACATGCTCTTACATGAAGCTCACTTGGTAAATAAAGAGGTAGTTATGAGTTCCTAGTACTAAGTTCTTACAGGAGTGTCCCCAATACCAAAACCCAGAAAAACTATGCATTCCTACTCCTGCTAATAGCCTCAGAGAGGCACAGCTTTGAATTGGCCACTATATTTTCCTTTTTTTTTCCCCCTAAAGAGTCTCTGAAGCATGAGATCACTGCAGCATGCCTGCAGTGGCCATGTGGACATCAGATTGCAGCAAGAGTGAACTCCAGCAAAGTGATCTCTGGACAGGATGATCCAACAAGTTTTTCTATGCAAAAGTATTGGACTCTACCTTTTAAAGGGGAGGGGAAGGGGAGGAGAGGGGAGACAGCCAAAAACTCTATTCCCCTCCCTTTTCCCTGAAGTCATCTGATTTCCCGAAAATGCAAACCAGGGCTGTGAGTTTCACCGGGGCACCCTGCGCTAACAGGATTGTGCAACTCTTTCTGGAAAGGCCCCTTCCTGCCGAGGGCTAAGGCAAACATCTCACCCGAGCAGGAGGGCCGGGAAGCCGCATCTCACAGACAGAGGGTGCTGTGATACTGCGAATTTGAGCTCTCCTCCCCAGTCCCAGCTTTGGGAGCGTTTGGGGGAGTGTGCACAGGAGGAAAAAGAGAAAGGAAGAGACAAGAAAAACAGACACGACCTAGGGAGAGAAGGTAAATATTGCAAGCATTAGACAATAAGAAAGGAAAATATTCCAGAGTGTTGCTCTCTGTCAGGACAAGCTGCTCCTCAGCTCCAGGTCTTAGCGTGATTTTTGAGGTGCTGAGAAGAATGGATTGGGTACCCTGGGTAGGAGGTGTTCTCTCTCTTAATTTGCTGGGAAAAATGGATTGGGTACCCTGGGTGGGAGGTGTTCTCTCTCTTAATTTGCTGCGCACCAGCATGGATTCTGGATACACCGATGGGCGTAAAGGGAAAATGTGAGTACTGGTGAGGCCCAAGATAGAGATCGTCTCCCCATTTTCTCAGTATGAAGCTTAACATCCCTTCTTGATGCTTGGGGTTGCTGTATGCAGGAAGGAACAGAGATATAAACTTGTTTTTGAAGCAAAACATTGACCTAGGCTCCACAAGCTGGGGTTTCAGGGTCTTTGACCTGCCTATCAGACATGCAGAAGAGGACAACGTTAATCAATCACACTGTTTTTTGTCCCAGACTGTAACTCTGAAGTCCAATTAATGAAAATTTCCAGAAAGGAAGATCTGCTTTTTCCAGATGTGGTGAGTTATTGAATTTTCAAGGGGAAGTCAGGCTTATTAATAATCACATTTTATAAATCAGATGCTTTTCATGTAATACTGTTCTGATTCTTAAATCAGAATATATCTATAGCCCAAGTAACCTCCATAACAGGACAGTGAAGTGGGGAATAGCACTTAAAACTTGTGTTCAGCTTGTGCAGCATTACCAGCTCTTACAAAGCTTGAGGGAAGCAGAGGGCATGACTGAGATTGTGAAAAGTTACAGGAGAAAGACAAGTCCCACACAACCACAGCACTGGTCATTGAAACTCCAAAGCCTAGAGCTCTGCTGCATGCTGTGTACAGCCAAAGACTAGCTTTTTCACTGGGAACTGTGCGTGCACGTGGAGAGAGAAGACTACTGCAATGTCACTTTCCTTCCTCTTTTGTCAGGTACCTTACCTTTTTCTGTCTCCCTGTCTGGGCTGATGCAGCCTCCATGTATGGAGAGATCTTGTCACCCAATTATCCTCAGGTGTATCCCAACGACGTGCAGAAATCTTGGGAAATCCAGGTCCCTTCGGGATATGGTATTCACCTTTATTTCACACATCTGGATCTTGAGCCATCACAGAACTGCGAATATGACTTTGTGAAGGTACTGTCTCTGTCCTTTATTGAGAAAAATACAAGAAAGCAGGTTAGAGCACAGAACAGCAAAATGTGTACAAAGCTCAGGGATGGAAGGCACATCCTTCCTGTGCTGAGCTCCAAGAAGCCCAAATGATTGAGCGTGTCTCCGCTAGCAGTCACTACATTGATTAGTGTCTGCCTCATAACCACATGAGTGTTTTCTGCCATCTGAGTGTCCCATCTATGCCCATATCCCCCTGTTTCTCCTATGTTAATAAGAAAAGACTTCTTAGCCATCTCTGACATCTCCCTATTGCAAGGCATGTCATTAGCTAGTGAACTGTAGGTGTAAAAAGACCCTTTTCTTAGGGCATATGTTGTCTGTGCCTGAAATTATTCAGAATTAATCCATGAGTGGACATAGATGATTTAATGCAATCAGAAATTGATTGGAAAGGATGGAGGTTGAAAACAATCCATTTGGGTATGGATAGTGGGCACTCAGATAAAGTGCTGTGGTCCCTTGCACCATACTTTTCTATGATCTATGTACTGCAGATTCAAGCTTCACCATGTGAAGCTCTGCTCCATGTCATCCCACAAGGCACTAAAGGTCGAGCATTTCCACATAAACAGACAGAAACAAGACAATCCTATCCTGCTATAGCTCTGTGTGAAATAAGATCAGGTCCAGCACCAGAAGGAGACATTTGGGGAGGACCAAGGTGGGACAGAAGGATGTGCTCAGTAATAATGTGAGTCCTTTAGCAACAAAATGATGAACCTGTTAGACTGCTCTGTGGACTGTCAGTGACTGGTTTTGCCATTTTGAACTATGTTGTTGATTTTTTGCACAAGTGGGCCTGAGGAAAGGATGTTAACAGAGAACAGTCTGGATCAATTTGTGTCTGAGAAATTAAGACAGGTATTTCACAGCTGGGAAG